GTATTCAAAACAAAATAATGAACTGTCTACAACGTAAATGTTTTTATAAGTCCAAAGACAGGCACTTTCCCATTTGCACTTGTGATTATCAGGGACTTTTCACTGACATACTTGTTCAGGGTGTCGGCGGGTCCTTAAAAAGAAAATTTGGACTAAACCACGATACGTATGGATTAGTTCTCTTTATGAAGTTTATGAAGTATCAAAGTGGAAGTTGCTTGGACCATCATTCAAGGGACAGAAATCTTATATTCTAATATCTTCAATTGTGTTTCAAAGATAACAAAAGTCTTGGCTTGGTAAACAATGATGAAATTTTAATTTTTGAACTAAGCCTGCAATAAAAGAATGTGGCCATATGCATCACCCAAGACGCGTGCTAATGCCAGGTGTGAACAGAGCCACTGTGTGACTACACAATCAACTTAGCAGAATGGTTCCTGAGAGAGATTTTGTTTCATTAATAGTTTTTTTCTTTTTTTTTCTTTTCAAGAAGCCAAGTTCCTGGCTTCTCCCAAGACCTTCAAGGACCCAATTGACCTCGGAATCCGCTGTAAATGAGGATGAAACCGATTTCTAAGGTTAGACTATATTTCAGAATAAGATTATCTATATTAATGCTTTATCTATATTCTGTGTTCATGCATTTTTTTGCTAAAGTTGTCATATCTGTTATTTAGAATGGGACAGCGATATTGCATCAATTGGTCTCCTACTTCATTTGATTCCACAAGACTGCAAGGGACCTGGAAAAATGTCCCCCTACATCTTCAAAAAGGTACATTTGGACATTTCTGTCCCTACCTATTGTCTGCCTCAAAATATTGCCAGATGGGTTGTATATGAAAGACTAATGTAAATAAAATCAGTTGGAGAGCTGACCTTGAGTATTATTTTTGCCTTTGATCTGCAGGCACCAACAAGAAGAACAGCTTGATTGCATAGAAGAGACCACACAGCCATACCTGCTCGCTGATGGGACAACGAGGAACATCATTCATGGATGCTACACAACTGTCAAAGCTGCCTGTCATATTTGATCATGTCTAGGTAAATTTGATGATTTTGTGTTTTATTAACTATTTTATGTTTCTGTGCAACACTAAATGAATGTGACTGACTAATTAACCTCTACACATCTGATATATGTTTTAAAGTTGCCACTTTGCCCATTTGTTAAATAAACGTTGAAATGTATACATCTGTCTGAAGACTCTTGCTTTTATGTCTAATCTTGTACATTAACACCATACAATAGCAATTTTTTGTTTGCACTGAAAAGAGTACTTTATTAGTAACACTTAAAGGATTAAAACAACAGCAGGGGTGTTAAATACCCCATAGTGTAACATTTGAACAACATTAGCAAGTGTAACACTTTACACTTGGAGTGTAATTTTTCTACACTGTAAGGTGCTATATTAACACTAAAAATTCAACACTATGAACGGTGTACTTTTAACACTAGACAGATTGGGACCATATATGATCTTTAGTAGTGTTAAAATCGACACTTAAAGTGTTAAACTGACACTGCGTTTTTTACTGTATGTTAAATAACAGATCGGAGATTAAAATAATAGCAGATTAGTCTCATTTAAAGTCAACAATAAAAACTAAAAAAAAAAAGGGAGAAAAAAAAGTTTGGCAAAAGACGGGATGGAACCCGGGTCGATCGCGTCAAAAAGCCAACGACACGCGCTTATCCATCTGCGCCACTGGAGCTGATGTTTTACAGCCACTTTTAACTAAAT